ATTAAGCAATCACGGCCATTATCAAGGCCCAAGCTGGCGCGGCGTGTCAGATGCATCGCACAGAGACCGCAACACCACTGTCAGATCCTGCCTCGATCGTCGCGGGTGGAGTGGATCGTTTCTCGCTTTGTCTTTCTCTTTCCCTCTTTCAATAGCCTCGGATCCACGGGGCTAATTAGCATCCTGGTATTTCAGGTTCGGGGATACTCGGCGCGACCGCGAGAACTGAAGCCCCATACACGCTATCGGTCCGAAATCCTTTCTTTGCCTATTGTTTCCGATGAACGAAGGTGGAGCGAGATCGGAGTGAGATCGGTACGTGAACGTACAAGTACATTATAAGGAAGTGAAGAGTATTCGATCGAGAGCGGATCGATAATGTGTACCGGCCTTTAACACTCCGGTACATGGGTAAATCGGTGGATGAGTCCTAGGGACTCGTTACTGTTCTTTGAATTGACAAATGCTATTTTGTGGAATTATTACACGCATAGAAACTTCTCGATAGAACGAATGGTTTACAAATGAAGAATATTGTTTCTCTGTTATTCGTAAGAAGAATCGATACTTTCAGGTGGACAAATGCGTACAGATATTGGACATTGGAAACAACTTATGCGCTCCCGTTGCGATTTAAACGAACGAACGTGGCGTGCTCCGAGCAGGTGCAACTGGTGCACTGAAACTCGCTTTATATGCTTCCGTAAGTATCTTTAGTTCGTCGGAAGAAAGTGTATAATAAAAAAGGCTATTGAGACAGGTAGTATCGGTAATAGGAATAGGAATAAAGAATAATATGGAAGTCAACGTCGTGTAACGAGCACCATGCTTGAGCAACTTTGAACGGGAAACACGATCGTGCCGCGCGAAGTTTGATTTCCGACGACCGCCAACGATCGGACAATGATCGAAGCAGCGTCGGACACGTGAGAGGCACGTGATTTCAGGCGACTGGGTGCGCGCGACCGTTGCGTGCAACTAATGATCGGCGCACCGATCTTTTACAGCGTGAGCGACAGATTCGGCAACAAAGGAAGAAGAGGAAGAGAGTTTCGTCGTGGTTCGTGACCGAATGATGACGGCAGAGGCGAAATTTGCGATTCTAGCAACAAGTCACGTCGCCGATCGTCTTCTTCTTCGCTCACGGCCGTTCGGTTCGTCGACATTTTTATTATCGCACGCGAAGTTCGTCGCTCGCCGATTATGCAAACGCCGCGTCGTTGCATTTGCGACGATCCGGTTATTAATAAACAGCTGAATAATAGCTAACATGTCACCGACGCGTCCATCCAACGGGAGACGATCGAATCATCCGATTTCACGTGAATACTCGGAATTATGCAGACTGTTTGCGCGAAGATAACATTCCTGCTGAGATCGTCTCGCGTTTCTTCTTTTCCACTTGATAAGATCGTTAATAGCGGTAATAATAGTAATTGCTGATCTCTTATGCTTGTTTTCGCGTTCGTTTAATCAACGGCGGAAATGAAATACCTGTTTTACACCTGGTGAATCGTTTTAGAAAATTCTTTATTCATACCTTACCTTTATTATTATTGGTAATAGGTTTCTTTATTATTAAAGAATTGCCTGATTAATGGATTAGCTTAACATTTATGGAACACGAGTGAACTCGACGCATATAAATCATCCGTAACCGTTCGATTTTTTAGTTTGGTCTCTTTTTCGAGTGATTTATTGGTTGTTTCTATCGGGATCGCCCCGTGTTTTCCGCTTAAACGTTGATTTTTTCCACGGCGAGATTAAGGCAATCCCAAGCCACTTTCACCCGCGATAAGAAACACGCGGGACCCGGTGTCGGAGGTCACGATAATGGAGGAATAAGAAAAATGGAAGGAACAAGCTTTTATCTCGGTTGTAACGCCGGTCGTTTATCGGTTCTAGGTGAAATGACGTTTATTAATACGGTATTCAAGAGTTGTTGGTGTCGGGCGGCCGGGATTATCGAGCTAATCCGGGAACCCTGAACCGATCGATTCAATAATAGCAGAAGTTTCGCTCGGGTTTCAACTCGGTCCGGTGGGAATTACTTTCGACCGTCGCTATTGAAACAATTTATTCGCTTATACGACGATACGGCTGGAAGAAAATATTATCTGCTAATCGGATCACGGCCGCATTTCTACGTGATCAGAGAATTTCTGCTATTTTCAAGGAGCATACAATTCATTTGTAATACATAATTACTGAATCAATGAAAAGATTAGCGGCAAACTTCAATGCTGACTACCGATGATCTTTTATATTACCTTTTAATTGTTCTCTTTTACCTTTATTTAATTCAATCATTCTTTTATCTCGTTAGAGAACAGAGAATTTTAACCCTTAACGGGCCGGAAGCGTTTTAAAATATAGTAAATAATTGCAATAAGAAAATTGGTATCGAATTCTTCTGACATAAGAACTACGATACCAAATCGTTAGCAATAATTTCTAATACCGTTTGTCTTTGTTACGAGGGAATAAGTAATATCACGGAAAACGCTACAAATTCTCGTGGCAGTCTACGTGTTAACCCTTCGCGGACAAGAATTTGTTAAACCTTTTTCATAAAGAATCTAGATATCGAAGTATTAAATACTGGAAAAAAGAAAACTCTGTCAGTCACTCGTTACTTGAATAATTAACCCTTTGCACTCGTATGTCATGCTGGAGATGACAATAGAAGTTCATAGAACGTTGGAATTTATTTTAAAAAGTACCACACTTTAAGAGATTATAAAAATTCAATCTTATTGTAATGATAATGAATAAAATCAATATAAAACGTTGAATTCTTCGGTGTAAATTACTTTCATTCATTACCCTAAAAATAAATACAGCTTCACACCCAACGACATTGAACATAAATCGAGTAGCGCGAAGGGTGAAATTATTCATTCGCAGCTTTCGAATTCAGATATCGGAGTTCGAAGTCTCCATTATGGCATTCGTGCGCAAAGGGTTAACAGGTTAAAAATTCAACGACGGGGGTCAGACTCACCTGTAGACGCCGTAGTGCTTGCCACTGGCGCGGTCGCCGCAGATCGAGCACAGGTGCTTGCTGCCGGACAGGGGGTGGTTCGGTGGGTAGGGCGCGACTGTCTTGTTCTGGCCGCTCGGCGACGTGCTCAGAAGGTTGCTGTGACAACCAGCGTTGAAGGATCTTACATGCAAAGAAGAGAATAACAACAAACTCGACCTACAACGCTATTGCCCCCCGCTGGCTTTCGAGCAAAATACTCAACTGAATTTCTTCGCATATAAATATAACATTCTAAACACAAAGTGACCCAACCGTGACTGAAGCTGTAGACGGAAACATATTTCTATCGTTTCTTACTCACTCAGGAAAGAAGAAAAAGCAAAGTTAACTCTGTCACGTTCTTTCACTTTCCATATGATCGTATCACTTCGTTTATTTTTTCTTTTAACCCCTTAAGTTAGTTTTCCCCTTTTAACCCCTTGAGATTGAGAAAAATTCAAGGATCTTTTCAATAATACACTTGAGATGTGTAGATAAAGAATCGCGACAGAGTTAAAAGAAACATAAGACCGCAGATCTTCATGCAAAATTCAAATTTGTAAGGACGTAATTAGATAAATGAAATGCATACGCGTTATATCATAGTTTCCACTGGCAAATTATATAAACGGTATTAGACTTAGGGTATTTCATATATATTTTGTATGGGTTTGGAACAATTAATATCAAATTTCTCCAAACGCACGTGACTCCGCGGTCTAACGATTTTCTTCTGCTGGTCTAACTTTTTTCTCTTCTATTGTGCGCTTCTAACGAGCTTCGCCTCGCGAAATGAAATAACAGCGATCGAAAGAATATGGAAAAGCGTATTTTGCTCGTTCGCTTCTGGGGCACGACTACGCTGATGGTATACCCTCGATTCGCGTCTGTCGATGTGCAGAATACCATTTTCTCGATATCTGTCGAACCGATTTGATCGTGCTTGTCAGTGGATAATCAATAATATATAATTAATGTAGACCGCTGCTCGATGATACGCAGTTTAACGGATCGGTCGTCTGTCAGGGAACATTTCGATTATTCGAATGATACTTACCCCGGGCTATTCGGGCCGGAAGGGCTGAAATTCCCTGGATTGATGAGGGTTGCTGTGTCCGGCTTCATGTCGAGAGGACTCTGTGGCCCCACTGACGACATGGACATATTGCTGTTGTCCAGACTCAACCCTGGAACAACAAATTATCGTAACGTTAGAACAACTGCGGGATATGCTGTCCAAGAAACAGCTAAACATTGATGCAAATCGACATAAAATCATTCCGTTCGAGAAGATTTTAATTGCGTGGGGTGTAATAATGAACGATTGCTGATTTCATTGATACAATAATAACTTTCGCAGTTGAGCTTTCATTTCTTCAACGAAACAGACATTAAATACACCCAAATGCAATAGCATTTAATAAAAGTTCTAAGATAAATTCCATTTCATTAACCCCTTGACCTATGATTTCTTTCATAATCGCGCTCACTATGGTAACGTCGTCGTTAATAATTGATCCAAAAGCGAATAAGAATCGCCAGTTCATCTACGTCCACCTTGATTTCAGAACATTGTCACGTTATACTAGTAACAGAAGAATAGTACTTAATTTGAATCCAAAATAATTGAGTGGCATTTAACTCTTAATCTCCATTTGAACACATTCTCACGAGTCTGACTCGATATTATATGGCAAAGGGTTAAACCAAACTTCAACGAATTATACTTTCGTAGACAGTATAAGAATCTTCTATTATTTCTCTATGTGTTCGTAACATTTATTCGGCTCTTGCAAACGAAAAAATTGAGAAAGAAGATAATTTGTATTATGGTGTAAATACGGTGATATGCAAAGATGTATTAAAATTCTTTCATCTTTCGGAGGTTCAAGAATTGAAAGGCACGAGGAGCGAAGATACGAAGAGCGAAAGTAAATGAAAAGGAAACGAGGATTTCGCAACCCGCGAACGAGCTTGCTTTCGAACGCCTCAGGAATCACGCTTTTACCCCATTAATATTTACAGCGCGTCGCCCTTTTACTTTCAACCCGCGTTGGCCGCGATTCCCGTCGCGGCCGGATCGAGGACGATCAATCTCGTCTGTGGCAAAGTGCAGCCACGTTAATTACCCGGCGAGCCGAAGGAGGCGGTCTCGGCGATTTACAGTTAGAGGAAACACGTGGCCGAGCCGCGTCGCGCGGGACGAGAATCGAAAAATATCGCGCGGCCTGCGGAATCGTGATTAGAAAGACCGTCCCACTTTGCCCGCCTTTACAGTCCTTCTTCAAGGATCCGCGAAATGGAAACTACTGATTCGATAAAGCTAAGGACGCTACAGTTGGCGGGCAAAAGTTTCTAGAAACAAATTGTCGCTTCTTCAAGTAAATTCTAAAAAGGATTCTGCGGTTATGGGCATCTATTCTGAGACACCCTTTCAATTTTGAAATGAATATTCTCTTTACTCTATTATTCGCAGAGGGAAAATCTGCAATTCAGCACAGCTACCAAGAGTTGTTAGATAAAAGTGTCCAGAATCAAATTTTAACTTTCTCAAGTAACTTCTAAAGAGAATCCTAGAATTGTGGACACCTTCTCTGTGATATCCTTCAGTTCTAAAATGAATGCTCTCTTTCTTCTGCGAGTTACAAAGACAACATCAGTGATTCAGCGGAGCTAGCTTGGGCATCGCTGGACAGAAGTTAGGTAGACAAAACTCAAACTTTAACCTTCTAGATTCTCCTTTTTCTCGTGTATACAAAGAAAACCTTACACCAAAGTTTGCCACACAAGAAGTAAATAAAAATTTCAGAAATAAACTCTTAATTTATGTTTCTATATAAACCCTCTTTCACCTGAGTTACCGGTTCACTAGAATCTTCTAAATCTGCGAGTGAACCTTCTTCTAAGATCCACACATCGAAAACCTTTGATAAAAAGGTGAAACCTTCTGCTAGAAGGAAACCACACAGAAATCTTGTAAAAGAATCAATAAGTATGTACACATCAACGATCGAACGAATCATTTTCATCCATTTTTCATCCTCTTTTCATGAAATCGCATCAGCCATTCGACGACAGCCTCTAAAACCACGATTGGACACGTCACGTCGTCATCCTCTTTCGATTTGTTTTTCCACGCTCCGGTTGGGGGCGAACACGTCCTCGTACAGCCGGTGACACCTTTTTTTTCTCGTCACGACGCAGTGGGACCGGGGGAATATTCCGACGGGAAGACAAACGACATTTTAATAGGGTTCGGACAGCGCGCGATCAAAACCGGCGGGGAAAACCGGCGAAAGAGGAGGCCGCCGTGCCGATGGAAACGGAGAGAACCGGCTGGACGTTCCCGAGGCTGGCTAAGGACGCCGTTAAGTGTATCGGTAATTGCACGCTTGACGTCACGTTCCTTTCTTCTCGGTCTGCCTAACCGATTTTCTGTGTCTGTCGCGCAGCCAGTTCGAAGATCGCGAGAACACTGGTCCTCTCTTGGCGAAGATCTTCGACTGAAACGAATGCATCCTTCACGGGTCAAAGTGAACGATTGAATGACTATGCCTTTCTGAATGTTTCAAACTTTAGCAAACCGCCTTATAGATTCTTCATGTCTATGATTTCTGCAAATCCTTCTATCCGCCAATTTGCAGAGTTGATTGGTTTAGCGAATGAAGTTACTTAGAAACGTAACGAAAGTTTTGAAAACTGCAGGGAGTCTTTGATGCTGTTTTAGTTACTCTCCAGGGACCAGAATTAGCAGGACATCGTATCAAGATATTTTAACATCTGTTCAATGAAATTTAGAATGTTTCAGAGTTTTCTCGAGCTTCTCGAAAAGCCTTTTAAGCTGATTAGGTGCTTCTCCAATGATTCCCAAAGATTCGTTCAAAATTCATGAAGGTTTCGAAGGTCGTAGAAGGTCGGTAGAATTGTCCAAAGGGTTCCCCGAGATTCTCGATGGGGATTCAACGCGACGATTAAAAAATGTGGGTTAAACGGCGTCGCCTCGGCGAGAGCGCACCAGTTGCACTCGCGTGCACTCAGTTTCGAACGTTGCACCGGCGTGTTTGCGTCTGGTCAAGGTGCCCGACACTGCCGGTGTAATATACCGTCACCGGACTTGGCCTTGCGGCCACTCTCGTGTCCTCGTCTCCCAACGTCTCCCGCCCCCTTTGATGCGATTAAAGCCTCGTTCACAACACGTGCGAACTTTGATTTTATCACAGCGGCGCACAGCGCGGCCAAACGCTTGTTTTCTGGACAAAACTCGATAACTTAAAATAACTTGAAAAGTACGAGTGATATGAAAAAATACTTCGGACAAAAGTTGTAAAGCATAGAGCTAAGCATACGGTGATTATATATTTTTTTACGTTATGGGGATATTATGACGTTTTTTCAGTGACAACGGATATTTTGCGTTTCGATTCTAACATTATATAAATAGAGAAACGGAATTTATCTGCACAAAATTTGGATTTTTGAAACGAAAATCATTTTGTATAACAGGGACTATTTAGCAACACATTGATAATCTTTAAATTTCGTTATGTGAATAGTCGACTTTGGGAGTTTTGTCTACAAACGCACTGTGCGGCGTGGCGAAACGCTAATTGTGGAAGGCAGAGCTCTGTTTTTGAGTGACTCAATGCCTTCGGAACGTTCATCGAATGCAGTATGTTGAAAAGAAACGTCTGTCGGCGATTCTACATTGAAAAAATCGATCGTCGATAGACCATATACCGAAAAAAAGTTTTGCAGATGATTTTATATCGAAAATAAAGTCCATCGATTGCTCTATGTCGAAACGAAGCTTTGTCGAATGCTCTAAGTTGAAAAAAATGTCCACTGACGATTCTATATTCTGGACTGTTCCATATGCAAAGACAAATCTACTGTCCTGCATAAAAAAGAAGTTCCTTAATTACTTTATACTAAATAGAAGATTCAAGGACTAATTCTCGTCGAATAAGGTTCATCAATTCTATATCTACATCTCACACAAGCTCCATTAGGCATTCTATATTGAGAAGGAGTCCATTGTCGGTTCTATCTGCAACACATAAGTCGATTAACTATTCATTGCTAAGCGGAAGATTAATAAACCGCTTTATACCGAAAATAAAGTCCATCGATCGCTCTACATTAAAAAAAAGATCCGTCCACAAAAAGAGATCCATTTGCTATTCTGAATCGAACAGAAAATCCATCAATGCTTCAGGTAATGCTTCGAATAAAAAATTCGAAGAAAAAGATGATAGGAGGAAAATAGATCTCTTCGCGGCGAATATAGGATCCATTGATCGCGGCGAGGCAAAAAGAAGATCCGTAATCCGGTTGTACACCGAACAGGAGATGATGTTTCGGCGTCGATCGGTGCAGATGCAAAAGTCGTTTGCCGTCTGTCGACGACCTTCGGTCCGCTTAGCGAGCTGGTTGCGTAATTAAAGCGGCGGCGCAACGCTTAATAAACGTCGGTGACGAGAGGCACGCAATCGGCGACCCTAACACTCGAAATAGAAGTCGCTAGAGTTACGACCTCGCCGTAATTATACGTTCCGCGGAAAGGGGGAAAAAAAGGGGCACGTGAAAAGAATCGCAACGGTCGGACGAACGGTCGATGATGTGTCGTTTAACCTTTTCTGGGATGATCGAACTCCTTCGCTCTCGATCCCCTTTGCTCCGTCGCCTCTCCTCAACCGTTCGCTGAATTAGAATTCAGTAACGACTGCAAACGATACTCCATCGTTGAAATAATACGGTGCACAGTATCTCTCCCATGCTATTCTCCAAATTCGAATCGATACTGTTACAGAATACTCAGGCGTTTCAAAGGAAAAAAGGAAACAAAAAATAATGGAGCTTAATCGCTTGAAATTGTTATTCCATCGCTACTCTTCAATCGTACGCATCGACTTCAAGCACCCATTTAAAGATCAAGCATTCGTTTGTATCCTCCTCGATGAAAGAGTGGAATTCATCGTTCATCTCAGAGGTATATGTTACGTCTTAGCTAGAATTCAAGACAACACGTCACAAACATTCTTATAGAAGACTTTTTTCGAAATGTCAGGTGCAACGAAGTATTAAAAGTTGAATACGAATCGTGCTGCATTTTTGAGGAAGAAAACTATTTTATTCTTTACATTATTATTGTCATTGTTACATCTAAACTGGACATAGCACAAACTAT